TCCTGGAGGTGAATCCACCATGCCCAGCCTCTTGAGTGAGGCTAAGGATCCCTGATGCCGTTCATTTGTCCATTCCTACAGCACACACTTACTGGGGGCCTTTCATGTCCTCCAGGGGATTAGGCAGACTGATGTGTCGAGGCAGGTGGAAACAGAGATGGAGAACTGATTCAGTCTTTGAGCAGCTGCTCCAGGAGGCCACTGTGGGGATGCTGGGCTGGAGCCCCGGAGGCATTAGGGGCTTGGCATTACAACCAGAGGAGGCGTGAGAAGTCATAAGAGGAGCTGACCCTTGAAGGAGAGAATTCGAAGAAGTGCGGGCAAAAGTTTGAATCTTGGGAACAGTAATCATTCTTAAAGTAAGATTCTTAAAGCTTTGCTATTGAGCAGTTTAAATGGAGAAGTTGAGTAAATAAGACATTATTTCCTGAGTGAGCGCCACAGTGCAGTCGCAACGTGCTATTCAGGAGAAGCTGGATCCAACATGGCGACTCAGTTTGAAACCCCCTCCTGGTCAGCCCTGAAACCAGCCAGGCATGTGCCCGCGTGTCCAAGACCTGACAGCCTGGAGGACCAGAGGAGGTAGATTGTGATGTGCCAAACCATGTGGCGGGTACTTAACCTCTCTCACTTTCACACGTGTGCAGACACACTGTAAGAATAAATAAAAGCATTTATATCACACGTGTGCAGACACACTGTAAGAATAAAAGCATATATAAAAAAGTGTTACTTACTACTTCAGTATGTTAATTGTCTACAAGAATTTTTTCCTACCAGGAATGGTCATATATACTTGTTTTAGAATATAAGGCAAGGAGGGATGTGGACTCGAGCAGTTTGTGGCCTGTTGGGGGCCCAGGCTAGGCAGCAGGGGCTGGATGGCCGGTGGGTGGGAGAGCAAGAGAGGCTTTGTCTCTTCTGTGTCTGTAGCCGCACCCCATCAATGACATTGTCTCCTGGATTCCGCCTCCTGTCGAATCACTGCTGGTATCGGATTCTCATGGGAGTGCCAACCGCGTTGTGTGATTGTTTCATTGTACAACGCAATGTGGTAGTGGTGGAAATGGGGTGCACAGTGGATGTGGTGCACTTGGGTCATCCTGCGATCAACCCCTCACCCTGCAACTGTCCATGGAAGGATTTTTTTCCAGGAGTCTATTCTCTGGTGCTAGGAAGACAAGGAACCATTGATGAAAGGGGACTTCAAAAGTTTGTGAGAAAATGGGGCTAGCTCTGTGGTGCAGTAGTAGTGTGCTGCTCGAGAAAAGAGAGGTCCGATATGGTGCCCTTGGTTTGAATCCCTGACTTAGTTGGGCTGAAACATTCCAGGTTTGAGTGTGAGTGCCCAAGATATGATGGGCTGGAAGACTGGAGGAAGGGGATCAGGTCTTGACTAGACCCTGTGGGGGGAGACTCTCTGTCTTTCTCTCTCTCGCTATTACTCCCGCATGTGCACAAGCACGCAGTTCATTGAAAATAAAGTAAACAAAAAGTTTGCAGAAAAAAATTAAAATATGAGTTTATTTAAAATTCAAGATCTGGGAATAGTTTTTTGTACGTATTTTCCACAAACTTTTTGAAAATCCTTTCTCCTACCAGGATCAGTAGTGGTGGTGGGATGGTTACCTTCTTTTCTTATGGCCCAAGACTTAGGTTTTTAGGAAATTGTCCAGTTTAGCCACTAAACATTAAATGCAACCCTCCTTGAAAGTCAAAGAGTAGGAGGAAAGTGAGGTGACCATTGAACAGTGGACACATCCCTATTCCTCCTCTTTCTGCAACATTTCTCCCCGATGGGCTTATCCCTTGAGCGCTGTTCAGGTGGTTCAGATGTGCATGTTCCCCTAGCGGGCCAACGCAAGGCCTATGCTATGGTTTGAGTGTAACATGTCTACCTCCAACCCCTCACTCCACCCTAAAACCGCATGCCAGAATATGCCTGGAGTCCTCGTAAGAAGATGACCATGTGAAGACAGAGACAACAAAAAAGGAATTGAAGTTATGCCAGTCAAGGCATGCCGCAGATTACCAGCAAACCACCAGAAACCAGAAAGAGGCAAAGAAACCCTATAGGTTTTAGTGGGAACATGGCCCAGCCAACATCTTGTTTTTGGACTTCTAGCCTCCACAATGCTAAAAGAAGACAGGAGATCCTTCAGGTTTTTTTAAAAAAAGTATTTATATTGTTTCATTTGTTGTTGTTATTTTTAATTTGATCAGAGAGAGAGAGAGAGAGAAAGGAAAAGTGAGAAAGCAAATCCCCCAGGTCCAGGACTTGAACCGTGGTAGACCATGTAGGAGTCCAGTACCTTAACCACCATGCCACCTACCAGCATCTTTCAGCTTTTAAGAGAACAAAGAGAAGAAAGGATCTTGGTGACACCAATAGTGAGAAAGAACTAATTTCCCTTCCTTATAAACCAAAAGCAAAATTATATAAAGCAAAGAAAGTGATACCAGAGTCAGATACAGAGGACAGGACAGTCAAAGCCTTGGATTAATTTGTTTGACAACATGGTGGAAGATGGCTTACTTATACCTTCACTGAAATAACCTACTCTTACATCAGGATATTGAGATCACTGACAAAGTAGGTAAATAAAAGTTAAATATGTAGATTTCGAGGATTTTACCATTTGTTGAATATTCGTGTCAAAATAGGCATGCAAATAAAAGTTAAATATGCAGCTGTCTATAAAAAAACACACACGCACACAAAAAACAAAAAAGACCTCATGCTGTAATTCGATAGTAAATGGGACCTGGCTGGGAGGTGGGGCCCAGTGGAAAGTGCTTGGGACCTGGGGGTGGACCTCTAATAAATTATGTTGGCTTCTGGGAGGGAGCTAGTTCTCAGTAGGCACAGAGCAAGTTATAAAGCAAGCTGGTTACCTGGAGTCCTGTCCCTTCACATTTAGCTGCTGCTGCTCTCAGCCATGTTGTGATGTAGCATGAGACGCTGGCCCCATGATCTGCCCTCTTCAGCTGCCAGAATTGTGAGCCAAATGGACGTCTTTTCTTTGTAAATCACCCAACCTCAGGTATTTCTGTTACACCCACACAACAGACTAAGAAAACATATGTTACCATCTCTGCTCTTCCTGTTTCTTTTGCTTTAGCCCCAAGCCCATCATAATCTTCCTTATCCTCTGGTGTGTTTCCATTTCTGTGCCCTGAATGTGTTTTCTCACCTCTAGAACCCCAGAGAACTTACTTTTTCCTCTCATACGACCCTTGGCTTTTGCTTTTTTCTTTTAAGAGATTTTGGTCATAGGGCGCATGTGCTCACCGGAGAGACAGAGATAGGAAGTGAGAAATCACCTCCCCCACCCCCAGGGAGGATGGTTATGCAATAATCCCTCCTCCTCCAGTCTCCTCTCAGGATTTTGGGCATACACGCATACATGCCTGGTGTGGGTTTTAAGCCACCAGGTCTAAGACTTGAACAGCAGTTGACTATGTGGGAGTCCAGTGACATAACCATTATGCTACCTGCTGGTCCCCACCCTTGGCTTTTTCTAACACACTATTAATGTCTTCTATCATATGGGGGCATTTCCTGAAAAAGAGAGCTTGTGCCTGGAATATCTGTAACCTCCTAGCTCTACCCCAGAGCCCCAGGATTGCTGGGTAATCATGCAATTGTTGAACTGGGGCAATCACAGCCTCCTCAGGAAGATGCTCTGTGGATCAGCTGGGAAGTTCCCACCTTCAGGGGCCTGCAGGCTGTGACAGAACACCCAAGAGTGACCTCATAAAGGAAGGAGTCCCTTCATGGATCCCTCTCTACTGCCTCTCGGAATCCAGAGACAGAGGAAATCCCTAGGCAGAGATTTTCTGGTGAATGATAAAAGCAAGGGATAGAAATTGAAAATTTGGACAATGTCGCAAGGCTTTCACCATAACTCCTCGAAAACCGCTTCTCATTCGCTGTTTGAAAATGCATCAACGAAACTCTATGAAAAAATCAAGAAGTATAAGTAAATGTTCTCTACCTCCATTGCTTGTTAAGTGTGCAGATGGCAGTGTGAGGGCAGGGGATCGGTGGTCTCTCAGCCTCTTCACACAGACACTCATCTGCTTCCCAGACTGTGGTGTGTGACCTTGACAATCTGGCTTCTGGTGAGATCGGCTGACTGTTACTTGATGTGTAGACTGAATGACTAGTTTGCCCCAGTCATGTCTTTGTCTATCTGTTACTGTGTGCTAGATACTTTATAAAAATTTATTTTATTCATGATAAGAGTGTGCATGTATGGGACCAGCAGTTAGCGTAATGGCTATGTTGCTGGACTCCCATGTAGTCGACCGCGGTTCGAGTCCTGGACCCGGTGGCTTAAACTCATGCCGAGCACATGGGCGTGCATGCCCAAGATCCTGAGAGGAGAATGGAGGAGAAGGGATTGCGGCGTGGCCATCCCCCCTGGGGGGTGATTTCTCGTTTTCTATCTCTCTGTCTCTCTCTGTCTTTCTGGCGAGCGCACGCACTCTATAGCAAAAACCTCTCCAAAAAAAGAAGAAAAAAAAAAAAAGAGTGTGCATGTATGAAAGAGAGAGGAGCTCTGTCAACCATGTCTGGTCCCACCATGATCCCGTTCCCTCAGGTTTCTGGCTGAGGTGCACAAGACCCCATGGTGTTTTAGGTCAACTGCACCAAAGATCTGAACCCACAACCTGGCCATATTGCTCCTAGCATGACAGCATAGTTCGCCATTGACCGCGTCACAGAGACTGGGCCTGTGTTAGATCATTTGAAGGTTCTTTCTTTTATTGTAATAGTCCCCATCTTGAAACAGTTAATGAAAATTACATACTATGATTTTATAGGTTATTAAAGTATATATCTTCTGTAAAGAATGATTTATTTAATTCCATTTGTATTATTATTATTTTTTGATTTGACCAGAGAGGGAGAGAAAGGGAAAGTGAGAAAGCGAGCTGCCAGATCCAAGACTTGAAACACAGCTGGCCATGCAGGAGTCCAGGACCTTAACCTCCATGCCACCTGCTGGCCCACATTCTGTATTTTTTTACTCTCATGAGAATGTGTTCATTTGTTACATTTAACAGGAACATTCTTTGAAAAAATTACAAAGCACAGATAAATGTAATAAACAGGCAAAACCCAAACCAAAACCAAACCCTCTATTACCTCACTACCCATACGCAGAGACTATCAACATTTTGACAAATTTCCTGCTTTTTTTTTTACAAATATTTACACAGATGAAATCATTTTGAGCAGATCATTTCGTATGGCTTTTGTTTTATGTTTTGCTGTCTGGTGGATCACCAATATTTTTCTTAATCATGAAAAATTTAGAGACATATTTTATTTGTATTGAATGAGATGGATATGCCGTAAGTTAATTAACCTGTATTGAATGAGATGAATATGCTGTTCTGTCAGACTTTTCGAGTTCTCAGTATTATAAATAATTCTGGGATAGACATCTTTAGCGGATGTCACTGCATTTCTGGTGGTATTCTCTTGGAATAGATTGCTTGGGTCAAAGGCTATGAACCGTTCTGAAAAGTTTTCAGAAAACCTGACCACTTTACCTGCCTCTGGCAGTTTATGACAATGTCCTGTCACACCACACTCTTGCCACATTAACTATTACCATGTCTAATTAATTCTTTGCTAATTTTAGAAGCAAAAATAATGGTCTTTACTTTGCATTTCCAATGAACATTGTTCCTGAACATTTTGGGTAATAAGTTTATTGGCCATTTGTATTTCTTTCATAAGTTGACTCTGTGTACATTTTTGTCTTAGGATGTTCAGTTTTTTTTTTCGCTAAAGACAGTGTCTTACAATAATGTGATCCTCAGGTGGGACTACAGGTGCCACCATGCCTGAGACTTTCAGGCACAGTCTGGCAGGGTCTTCCAGGCCCGCCTTGAGCTTACGATCCTCCTGCCTCAGCCTATGCAAGTTGCTGGGACGATAGGCACGTGCCACCACGCCCAGCCTCTCAGTTGGACCAAGAATCAAACCCGAGCCTCCACTGTGGTCCCCACCTGCTGAGCAGTGTCGCCCTGCCAGAGCCAAGTGTTCAGTTTTTCATCTTTGGATTGTCATCATGTGTTACCGTTTTTTCCCCACTAGACTGATGACACTTAGTTTGCCTCGCATTGTTTACCCAGGGCCTCTGTCACCCGGCAGGTCGCGGTTTCTCAGTCAATACTTTGAATGAGTACATAAAGACGATGCTTTGTTTTGCTTGAGAAAGAGTGGTGACCATTCTTTTTCAGAGATGTGAGGAGAGGCTGAACGAGTGGTGACAGACCATGGGTGGCCCTCATACATCTTTCAGGGGTCATTCATTCCGCGTTTCCTTGCTACTTAAAATGTACACTCACAGGAGGGGGAAAGGGGACCCTTGTCCCTACAGAAAGGTGTGCATCGTATGGAGGGGCCAGGTCCATTGTATGATAACCGTTTCTCTTATTCAACTTTTGACAGGAGGAAAGATGCACAGTTTCAGGCATTTATGAGGAAAGTCATAATGAGTCGTTTCTTTCGCATAATTATGATTACTACCGTCACAATGAATGCCTTTGTTTCTATCTTGTGGACTAGTTATGACATAAGAAACCACATCTTCAAAATGATTGAGGTAAGCAGACAAAATGGGTTCTTTTCTTCTGTTTTACCCATTATATTTTAGAAAATGTTGTAGGACTTTTAAAAAATATATTTATTTCTTCTATAAGAGGGACATATAGAGAAAGAGAGATTCCTGATAGGGTTCTCAGAAGTAGCAATGGTGACAAAAACATTAAAAAAAAAGGATTGAAAAAAAAAGGATTGCTGGCCCTGAGGTCTGTTTGACTTATGGAAAGCAAGTGTCCTTGTCTCACCTAACTCTCTATGAAGAGGGCATCTCTCACAAGCATCTAAAGGCACATGGACATGTCCCTGCTGCCTGGAGCAGACAAGCAAGCAAGCAATTAATAATAGTTATAAATAGAGACCAGCAGTTAGCGTAATGGCTATGTCGCTGGACTCTCATGTAGTCGACTGCGGTTTGAGTCCCGGACCCGGTGGCTTAATCTCACGCCGGGCACGTGTGCATGCGTGCCCAAGATCCCGAGAGGAGAATGGAGAAGAAGGGATTGCAGCATGGCCATTCCCCCTGGGGGGTGATTTCTCGCTTTCTGTCTCTATGTCTCTCTCTGTCTGTCTGGCAAGCGCACGCGCCCTATAGCGAAAACCTCTCAAAAAAAAAAAAAATAATAATAATAGTTATAAATAATAGTTGAGGCAAACAATCGTCATGGTGAAAGCCTGGGTAGAAAAGTCTGAAAGGGCTTATTTGGGAAATTAGAGCATTGAGTAGCTCCCATGTATAGGGAGGGATTTAGAAAGCTATGCATGTCCGAGGCAGGGCAGAGGCTTAGAAAAGAACTGAGATGATCCCAAGCTTTTGCCTCTGGCCAATTTTTTGGTTCATTGCAAGCAGGAAACAAAGGATAAGAATTATTTAATTTTAAAAAATAAATAACTCTTTTTTTTTTTTTTTGAGAGGTTTTCGCTATAGGGCGCGTGCGCTTGCCAGACAGACAGAGAGAGACATAGAGACAGCAAGCGAGAAATCACCCCCCAGGGGGGATGGTCACGCTGCAATCCCTTCTTCTCCATTCTCCTCTCGGGATCTTGGGCACGCATGCACACGTGCCCGGCGTGAGTTTAAGCCACCGGGTCCGGGACGCGAACCGTGGTTGACTACGTGGGAGTCCAGCGACATAGCCATTACGCTAACTGCTGGTTCCCCAAAATAAATAACTCTTTTTAAAAAAATTCCCGAAAAGATAATAGAGGAGGAGGAATTGAGACATGGCCATCCTACCCTGTCGGGGTGGGGGGTGGGGTTTTGTCACTTGCTCTCTCTTGTCTTTCTTCAGAGGGTAAATGATTTGGCTAAGCATTGGATGAGCGCTTCAATCCAGAGCCAGTCTGTCACTTGCTCTCTCTGTCTTTCTCCAGAGGGCATGTGCCCTACAGCAAACTAAAAACAAAAACAGAAAAAACAAAGTTTAGAAAACTCACTGAATAAGCAACTATCCTTTCCTCAGAAAGCAACAGCGTCTTTAACCACCATGCCACCTGCCGACCTTCACAGAAAGCACCAAAACAAACCATGGACAGTCATACGAGAATCCAACACCTTTAACCACCATGCCACCTGCCGACCTTCACAGAAAGCACCAAAACAAACCATGGACAGTCATACGAGAATCCAACACCTTTAACCACCATGCCACCTGCCGACCTTCACAGAAAGCACCAAAACAAACCATGGACAGTCATACGAGAATCCAACACCTTTAACCACCATGCCACCTGCCGACCTTCACAGAAAGCACCAAAACAAACCATGGACAGTCATACGAGAATCCAACACCTTTAACCACCATGCCACCTGCCGACCTTCACAGAAAGCACCAAAACAAACCATGGACAGTCATACGAGAATCCAACACCTTTAACCACCATGCCACCTGCCGACCTTCACAGAAAGCACCAAAACAAACCATGGACAGTCATACGAGAATCCAACACCTTTAACCACCATGCCACCTGCCGACCTTCACAGAAAGCACCAAAACAAACCATGGACAGTCATACGAGAATCCAACACCTTTAACCACCATGCCACCTGCCGACCTTCACAGAAAGCACCAAAACAAACCATGGACAGTCATACGAGAATCCAACACCTTTAACCACCATGCCACCTGCCGACCTTCACAGAAAGCACCAAAACAAACCATGGACAGTCATACGAGAATCCAACACCTTTAACCACCATGCCACCTGCCGACCTTCACAGAAAGCACCAAAACAAACCATGGACAGTCATACGAGAATCCAACACCTTTAACCACCATGCCACCTGCCGACCTTCACAGAAAGCACCAAAACAAACCATGAAGAGGGAGAAGATTCTAATTTCCAGAGCTACCACATCATAATATTTAACATGTCCAATTTTCAAGAAAATATTAAACATGCAAAGAATTGGCTTATGCAGAGGGGAAAATGAACAGAAACTGCCCCTGTGGAAGCACAGACATTGGAATTCCTAGGCAAAGTATTTAAGTTGATTGTATTAAACATGCTAAAAGAAATAAAGGAAACTGGGACCAGCAGTTAGTGTAATGGCTATGTCGCCGAACTCCGATGTAGTCGACCACGGTTTGAGTCCCGGACCCGGTGGCTTAAACTCATGCCAGGTGCATGTGCGTGCATGCCCAAGATCCTAAGGAGAATGGAGGAGAAGGGATTGTGGCGTGGCCATCCCCCCTGGGGGGTGATTTCTTATTTTCTGTCTCTCTGTGTGTCTCTGTCTTTCTGGAGAGCACACGTGCCCTGTAGCAAAAATCTCTCCCCTCCCCCCCCCAAAAAAAAAAGAAATAAAGGAAACTAGGAGAACACTATCTCAATTAATAGAGACTATCAATAAAGAGATAAAAATTATAAAAAGGACCAAACATTAATTCTGGAGTTGAAAAGTACAATAACTAAAATGAAACATTAACTAGAGGAATTCAGTAGCATGTACAAGAAAGAATCAGTAAACCTAAAGAAAGGTCAGTTGTATTTATTCAGTATGAGAAGCAGAAAGAAAAATGAACAAAGCCTAAGAGACCTGGGGGACCCCACCAAGCATAGACATAATAGACGTTTCAGGAGGAGAGGACAGAGAAAAGAGGCAGGAATAATATTTGAAGAAATAATGGTCAAAAAGCATTCTCGCATTAGATGAAAGATACGAATATACACGTTCAAGAATCCTAACAAACTCCCAAAAGAAGAAAGTAAAAGAAATCCACTTTAAGGCACATTGGGTCTTCGGAAAAGTCATGATGTATTTTTTAATGACTCTGTATGCGAAAATGCGTCATGACTTTCCTGACAACCTGGTATCATTCAGGACCTCAAGCCGATAATCAAACCGTCAAAAGCTAAAAACAGAACCGTGGAAGCAGCAAAAGGTATACTTGTTACATTCAATGAGCATCAATAAGATTAATAGCTGAATTCATATCAGAAATTAGGGAGACCAGAAGGCAGTGAAATGATGTTAAAATATTTAAAGAAAAATACTGTCCACCAGGAATTCTGTCTCTGGCAAAATTGTTCTCAAAAATTAAGGAGAAATTAAATCATTACTGATGACAAAAGTGAGGGGGTTTGTTGCTAGTGTACGTGCCCTCAAAGAAATGCAAAAGGTAGTCTTTTAGGTGGAAGTGAAATAGGGTGGTAACTTTAAGCTGTATGATAAAAATATTTTTGGTCATTAACTGTGGTTTTTTTTTTTTTTTTTTTTTTTTTTAATGTAATTTAAAATACCTGCATACCAGCCAACTGATGGCATGGAGGTTAAGGTGCTGGATCCCACATGGTCAACTTTGTGGTCTGAGTCCTGAACCCAGAGGCTTGACAAAGAAGCTGGGCACGTGCGCGTGCTTGCCCTGAATCCCTAGAGGAGAAAGGAAAAGAGACTGATGTGGACATCCCCCTTGAGGGTGGTTTCTCACTTTCCCCTCTCTCCCTCTATCTCTGGTGAATGCACATACCCTATAGCAGAAAAATAAAAACCTGCACAGAATAATAATTAGTTTAATGGGTACATGGTGTATAAAAATGTAAGTCGTAACAATAAAAACAAAGGGAAGAGATGGAGCTATATAGAAGGAGAGTCGTTATATTGGAAGCTAAGGTTGTATTAGTTTAAAATAAATTGTTACAAGTTTAAGAGGTTAATTGTAATCCCAAGAGTAACCACTAAGTGAATAACCCAAAACTATACAGAAAATGAAATGAGAAAGGAATCAAAATGGTACACTAGGAGAAGATCCATTAAAGAGAGCACACAAAAGCAGTCATAGAGGAGTTGAGGAACAAAAATATATGATATATAGAAAACAAATAGGGGGCCAGCAGGTGATATGGTGGTTAAGGTGCTAAACTCCCACAGGGCTGACTGCAGTTCGAGTCCTGGACCTGGCGGGTTACTTTCTCACTTTTCCTTTCTCTCTGTCTTTCTCTGGTCAAATTAAAACTAATTAAATAACAAAATAATTCTTAAAAAATAGCAAAATGTCATATGTGTGTCCTTTATCCATCACTAATTGCTTTAAGTGTAGATGGATTAGGGACCAATGGATGGTGAAATGGTTACATTGCTGGACTCCCATGTAGTTGACTGTGGTTCCAGCCCTGGACCTGGTGGCTTTAAACCTCACACGAGGTGCATGTGTGTGCATGCCCAAAATCCTGAAAGGAGACAAGTAGAAGGGATTACAGCATGGCTATCCCCCTGGGGGTGACTTCTCACTTTATGTCTGTCTTTCCAGCAAGTGTGTGAGCCCTATAGCAAAAACCTCTCTAGAAAGGAAAGAAAAAAAAATATAGATGGATTAAAGACTACAGTTCAAAGACAGACACTGGCAGAATGGATTTTAAAAACCTACTATATGCTGGCCACAATGACTATTTTTATTTATTTGTGTTTTTAAGAAAGAGATTTTTGCTGTAGGGTGCATGCATTCTCCAGAGAGACAGAGACAGAAAGCCATGCCACAATCCCTTCTCCTCCAGTCTTCTCTT